CCTCTTTATTCCGATCTCCCTCTTCCTCTGCCCCCCTCAGTCCGATTTCTCTCTTCCCCTCGCTCCTTATCCCGACGTCCCGTCGTCCCCCCCGTCCGTTCTGACGTGCGATGCATGCGGACGTGCAACCCCATCGGCCTCCTTGCCCTCCCTCCGTATCCTTTCAGCCTCCCTATCCCGGCCTCGCCGCCCTATCCCGGCCTCGCCGCCCTATCCCGGCCTCGCCGCCCTATCCCGACGTGTCCTGTCGTCCCCATCCCGATCCCCTCCTCTCCCTCCCTCCCTCATCCCGATGTCCCTCTTCCCCTCCCTCTCTATCCCGACGTCCCGTCGTTCCTCCTTACTCTCGCCTCCTATCCCGACCTCGTCGCCGCATCCCGACGTGTTCCGTCGACCCCATCCCAATCTCCTTCTCCCCCTCCTCCCTCCTACCCCGACCTCGCCGCCCCATCCCGACGTGTCCCGTCCTCACCGCCCTATCCCGACGCGTCCCGTCCATCCCATCCCGATCCCCCTCTCCCCCTCCCCCCCTCATCCCGATACGTGCGATGCATCCCGACATGCGACCCCACCTCTTCCCCTTCCTCCCCATCCTTTCGGTCTCCCTATCCCGACCTCGTCCCCCTGTCCTGACGTGTCCCGTCGATCCCATCCGGATCCCCCCTCTCCCCCTCCCTTCCTCATCCCGATACATGCGATGCATCCCGACGTCCCCCACCTCTTCCCCTCCCTCCCCATCCTTTCAGCCTCCCTATCCCAACCTCGCCCTCCTGTCCCGACGCGTCCCGTCGATCCCATCCCGATCCGCCTCTCCCCCTCCCTCCCTCATCCCGATACGTGCGGTGCATCCCGACGTGCGACCCCACCTCTTCCCGTCCCTCCTTATCCTTTAGCCTCCCTATCCCAACCTCGCCCTCCTGTCCCGACGCGTCCCGTCAATCCCATGCGGATCCCCCTCCCCCTCATCCCGGCCTCGCTGCCCTGTGCCGACGCGTCCCGTCGACCCCATCCTGATCCCCCCTTCCCTCTCCCTCCCTCATCCCGATGTCCCTCTTCCGCTCCCTCTCTATCTTGACGTCCCATCGTTCCCCCTTCCTCTTCCGTCCTTCAACTCGATACATGCGATGCATCCCGACGTCCCCCACCTCTTCCCC